AACAGAACAGCGCAGAATAGATCACATGAAAGTGCGTTATCCGGACTGAATGTAAGACAGAGTATCATCGGCTCCGGGTCTTCCGTGTAGAGTTCGGATAAGTATCACCGTGGGGGAGATGGGGGGCTGGAGTGTGGTGGGATCTAGGCTGGAAAGAGTCGGGAGCACGCTAGCTTCGCTAAACATGGAAGGACGCTAGTGCATATCGGTGCATAGTGCACTGTTTGTCATACCTGCAGATCCTGAGCAATTGCGCCAATGGCCCCGAATGCTCGGTCAGCAGGGCAAAGCCGCAAGAGGAGGGCAGCAGAGGGTGAATTTCACAATTAGTGGCTAAGGTATGGGAAACTGGAAGCTTCCGTCATTCCATTCCCAGCAAGTCGGTCCACAGTCCACAGTCCACACGCACAACACAACACAAACACACAAGCCCAGCCATCCATTCGCACTTGTTACACCACTCGGCACGCACCAAGCACCACCACCACTCCTCACCATCCACCACCAACCTAACGCCAGCACCTCCCGCAGCCCGGCCACCAGCCATGATTTCCTCGGGCTTTCCTTGACTTCCCCCTAAGGTTGTAATGCGAACTTCTTGACTTTCCAACTTCACATACCACTTCCTTCGTCCCTCATACGGCAGACGCCTTCTTCTGACCTTTTCGGTTCTGCCTTATACCCAGTCGTTTTTCGTTTCTCGGGACCAGAAAATTAAAGGACCAGCCCTCCCCTTGCAACACCTTTTTGTTGTTGTTGTTATTCCCCCCCAAAATCGACAGCCGAAATCCATTCGCTTGCCTGCCTACTAGGCACCTTGGCTTAATCCCAGGCTTCAGCCCGATCCACCTTGTTTGGGCGACCCGACCGGTTCCCCCTCGACCACCAACCGCGACTGCGACTACAACACGACACACAACCCCTGGTGACTCCTGTATCACTCGGAAACCTTCTCCGTCTTGAGAGCCTTCGACCTAACTACATCATCACCACCTTTGCCGCCCTTTGCTCGCCAAATATCGTCTTTCACTGCATCAACCATTGCGAAACCGCAACCGCTCGAACCTCCGAAACATCCAAGCTAGGAGGCACGCCATACAACATGCGTCGCCCCTCGGCAGACCTCTCCGACCCTTCGCGCAATCTAGAGGAGTCTGTTGGCTCACCATCGTCAGCCATGGAGGGAGCCGACGTTGACTTATCCATGCCCCCGACCTCCGACGAGGAGATGGACGACACTGACGGCCGCATCTTCACCCCGCCTCCGCACATCGCCGCCCGCTTCTACCGGCCCTCCCAGACCCGTCGCAAGGACTCAGCAGCCTCTTCCCGCCGCAACTCCATCTCTTCTGCACATTCCCGCTGTTCCTCGACCCAGACCTTCACCCGCCATGGAGACTCTGACCAGAGCAAGCACATTGCACAGCACCTCCGGCGCACGTCCTTTCTCGAAGACCGAAAAGCACGCCTCGCCGACCGAGCTGCCCACGCCGAAAAGGTTCGTCTGAGAGCCGCCATGGCCAAGGCCAGCCACCGCGACACCTCCCTATCCGAAGAACGAGCGATTGCTGCCCAACAAGCCCGAGAGCGCAACCTAGCCGAGATCGTGGCTTCCTGTGCCGAGGAGGTCAAGAGGGCCAAGGCCGTTGCCGAGACCATGAAGGGCAAGAGAGAACAGGAACTGGTCAAGCTCCGCGTTCAGATGGAAGAACGCTTGGCCGAGGCCGAGCGGCGGAGAGAAGAGTTGAAGGGCCGTAATGCCACCAAGAGGGCGCGAGGCCAGAGTCTCATGTCGCGGAAGCCCACCGAGGCCTCTTCGAATACCTCTGACGAGAAGCGTGCTCGGGTGTTGAGTGAGCCTGAAGCAGCCGAAAAACTGCAATGGTGGTGGAAGAGCCTCAAGAGAAGAAAGGCTGTTGCTGAGTTCTCCGGGTTAGGCATCACCATTGACGGCGTGCGGGACACGTCTTTTGACCAAGTACTCGAGCTGTTGGCGCAAGAAGAGGTCCTCGTACAGACCGCCCGTATCCTCAGGATATGCGGCTTGCAGGAGGGCGAGACGGGGTCGGTCGAGGAGATGGCCGCCGTTCGCACATTTCTCAGCGCTTTCCTCATTCTGGGCCACCCCACGCAGGTTCTGAGTAACAAGGACGGCACGGGGGATAGGGAACAGGTTGGATTGTCACAGCCTCAACCAATGCCCCGTAATGACCTTGCTAATCCACAGCTGCAGGACCTCGTGACGAAAGCCCGAGATCTCCTAATTTCTTTCGAGAACATCATGTCGCGTCTGACCGCAGCCAACAATTATACCCCCCCGCCGACTCTACGTAGTGCACTGCCCGAGATTTATGCCACTTTCTACAATGCGTTCCTTGCATGGAAGTCTCGGGACTCGGAGTCTCTTGTTCAGCTAATGCTCTTGCAGTTTGTTGAGCTGGACATGATTTTGCAGACAGTCCAGGAAAGCACCGAAGATGCGGCCGCAGAGCAATACCGAGAGAGCATAAAGAGCAATCAAGTTCAGCTGATTGTGCGGATCAAGAAGCTTGCGGGCCAGGAAAAGGGCAAGAAGATGATTGGCGATGCCGTTCGTAAGGCTCGCAAGGCGCGAGCCGCAAAGAAGCCCACTGGCGATATGAAGCCTCGGGTCGCCGAAAACGTGCCCGGAGAGGCTTCCGCTACTGCCGAAAGCCTTGTGTCGCCGGATTCGCAGACCTTGACACCGCCGCCAACGCCGGCCAAGGGTCATACCAAACCACAGCCTATTGAGATCAAGCCTGGGTTCGGCGGCCTGTTGCCCGATAACAGGATTGTCGTCCACGAGCTTGCCATTAACCGAGAATACCGCATCCCTTCAAGCGAATACCGGGAACACCACGCTGCCGTCCAGATACCCCTATTTGCCGGAATGAGAGCAAGCATTGAGGAAGACAATATGGACGCTAGCTTTGCATATTTTGTCATCATGATGAGATATCTCAAGGACAATCTGCAGCGGCTCGTCAAGCCCGGTGCCTACATGCACACAACGATTAGTGAGATACTGGATGTCGAGGTGGCCGAGCGGCAGTTCCAGATGGGGAACTTCTCATATGAGAAATTTTTTACCTCCATGGCAAACCTCTTGCCTAAGTTGTGCGCGCCATTCCGCGACGATGAGGCCAAGGATTTGGTGGAAAACAAACTTCAAAACGGGAGCTTGGTTGATCGCGTGGAAGCATTGACAGAATTTGTCGATTTCATGTTGTGCGACTACGTCAACTACATGTTCTCCACTGCAGCTCCTCAGTTGATTGAGTCTGCAACAGGGTATGAGAGGAAGAGATTCACTGGGGCGCTTGAGAGCGGTGCACACGATTTGAGCGCGGCCGAGACGGCCTGGCGTTCTGCACGCTCCAAGGTTCTGGCGGAGGCTCGAAAGAGAGACCCGGAGGGCATCAATCACCCCAAGAATCGGCCAACGGACGACAAAATATACGCACAGTTGCTCGTCGACAGTTTCACGCAGCCGGCTCCAATCGCCGTTAACAAAGTACCCGAGATGTTGGGCTTGGACTACAAGCGCATGGTGCGGTTGTCCCTGGCCTCGCAGCGTATTGTCACCACCGGGGCCATTTTACTGCAATGCAAGAACCTCCTGAAGCGAGACGTCCGCACGCCGTGGAAGACGGAGGCAACACGGATCACAGCGGTGCTTGAGGCAGATCACGACAATGTCGAATCGACAGTACAGGGTGTCATGGCGGCACTCGAGGCTGGCAGGTCTATGCCAGCAGCGACCAAGACGCACCTGAAAGCCCTCGTTACCAAGGTGCTGAAGGCTAGCCAAGACTCGATGAAGAAGAGCATCGAGCCGACAGAGCCCGTTCTGCGGCTTCTCCTGGCCAGGCTCAGGGGCCACATGAACGCCAGGTTGACTGCTGGATCAGCAAAGGAGAAGCTCAACGCGGCCACGACTGCGCATGAGAAGCTGGCGGGTCTTGGCCTGGCGGAGTTCGCGGTGCAGGTTCGGGAGATGCTGGACGAGATATCCAAGGTCGGAGCCGTCGACAGAGCGGCCCACGGATCGTGGTGGAACGAAGTCGCGGCCAAGGTGGCGGCGGAGGGAGGAGCGACGGGCGCCAGCGCCAGCGCCGGCAGTTCGGCATAAGGTTGCAAGGCATAAGGTTGCAAGACGAAGAGCACGTGTGTATGCATGGTACGATATACGAGTAGAGGAGGAGGCATTCTTGAGAACTTTTTCTCTTGACGACGTAATGATGTACTTGTTCGGGATCGAATGGGGGCAGGCGTTACGGTGTGGGATTGGCTGCTTTCGAGGCCGTTTTTCATGGCATGGTTGGGACGCATTGGGTATCTTGTGAATTAGCGCGCTCAGAATGTTGGGAGGGAATTTGTCTGGAGGCAAGGGAAGGGAAGCGCTATAGGTAGGCATCGATTGCGTTTGACGATGTGTATACCAAGCGAGTATTAGAGGTTTTGGGATGCCATAGCGGGGGAGGACTTTATACATTGAGCGTTGCAGAGGAAGAGCAATAATGGTTCACATTACAGCTATATATCTTTCCGATTTGTTCTTACTTCGCTTGAGACTGTGATATGTTATTAACTAATTGAACTTACGGAATTCCACTCATTCATACCTCAAAGCATACAGATATCTACCTACCCTATTTGGGGGCAGTCGTACCGAGGTCATCTCGCTTGTCGTCGGCGTTGAGCAATTGAACTTTTTTTTCTCTCCTTCGAGGGAACTTATGGTTGAGCACAAGCCACCACAGCCTCGTACCAGCAGCAGTTAGCCCCGTTTTCTACCTAAACAGGCTAATTCCCGCGCCGAAGCGTCCGAGTTGACAGGCTGTGTGACCTCCTGAGTCTGTCCCGTCCTCGTACAGAGATTTATCTACAAAGTATTCCAACCAGCGTGAAGAAGGAATCGGTAGCGACGATGCACTGAGGCAATTGTCACCTGCCTCAACCTCATCACCAGCTCAGCTCTATAGGCCTTTCGTTTCTGCGTCCAGTCCGTCCTGGGCGGACCGATCAAACAGGATGAACCCGATCGGGCAGCTGGCCGGACGGACGTTTGGTCCTGCGGCGCGCGGTCTGGTCCGCGGCTGCTGTGTATCTGTACCACGTCCACTACTGCCATCACTTCTTGTAACACCAACATCATCGTCCTCTTTTGGCTCATCGGCGCCGGCTTCTTTTTCTTCATCATGCTCGTACAACATCGGCTTCAGACGCCACTTCTCGAATTCGTCTGTCTTCAAGGCAGCAGCTTCCACCACGTCTACGTCTAATGCTCTCTGGTTCTCGGCTCCCAATGTTGGACGGATTGCTCGCGATGCCTTCATTGCAAGGTAAGTTTGTCTGGTCTGCTTTCTTTTGGTTTCAAGGTTCCCCTTCGTTGAATGGCCACCTTTCTATCTGTTGGGACCTTTCTATTTTTCCGAAGTACCACCCTCATCTCGGATAACAAAGGCCTAGTAGACCTTGATTTACTCTGTGCTTTACCTTACTCTTTGGTAATGGAACAGCAACGATGGGAGAAACGGGTGTTCCTGGGCTGCCTGTACCGGAAGGTATTAGTGGCCTGCGCGCACCCGTGGACCAAGTTGAGCGTAGCGGCGCCTTGCTTGTGGTGGGCAGCATACTCCACGCTTACCTCACTCAATGAGTGGACAGGATTGGACAGCCCCAGAACGCAGGAGAGCTACCTACCAGCTTGACCCATGCAGGGACCTTTTGTGTGCCCCTCGTTGCCCCTCACCTCGGAGCATCACCATTGATCCACCCCGGAACTCTCTCCTTCACCTTGATCCAAACCCACAACCATACCACCAATCCGGATATCTGCCTCAGTACCTGAGAGTCTACTACCACGCGCCAGTCGTCCCATTTGCCGCTTGCCGCTTTGCCCATAATCCCAAGTAGGAAGGCACTCTCTTGTGGAGCTGGCACAGCTTCTACTCTGATCGTATCCATTATACTACTCTTCTTTTTTTTCTTCCGCCTCCCTCCTGCGACCACTACTACCACCTTACTCTTCTTTCCTCTTCCTCCGTCCTCCCATTTTCCTATTGTCCTCCTTGTCTTACTACTCCTCTTTGCAGCCTACCTTTAACCACCCCAAGGGTACGAAACTGACATAAAGCTCGCCTCGCGGACAAATAGCTACCGCAGACCTTCTTCCTTCCCCGCACCCGCTTCCCACCGCAACTACTGCTCGACAATCACCACATCCGACAAGGCACTGTACGCCAGCAGAGTCGGCAACATGGCTGATCGCGAAGTTCTCCCCGAATCCATTCGGCCCTCCCACTACGTCCTTTCCCTCCGTGACCTCAACTTCAAGGACTGGACTTACAAGGGAACCGTGACGTAAGGATACACCCCTACCCCTCACTCCGCCCGAGCTTCAGCTTCAGCTTCAACTTCAGCACGAGCTGCAACCAGCACTCCAAAGACGTGCCCGAGATGCTAACCTCTTGCTTGCGCCCCACAGCATCGACGCCGAGGTTGTCAAGCCTACCAAGGAGATTGTCCTCAACGCCCTCGAGATCAAGCTGCTCAGCGCAAAGATCGCCGTCGGCCACACCAAGTCGACGCAATCATGGGAGTCCACCAACTTCAGCTATGGCGAGAAACAGCAGCGCGCTACCGTCACCTTTGACGAGGAGATCCCCCAGGCGCAAAAAGCTGTTCTGACCATTGACTTTGAGGGCATCATCAACAACGAGATGGCTGGCTTCTACCGCAGCAAGTACAAGCCCGCCGCCGAGCCCGCCAAGTCTGTTCCCCGCGACGACGAGTGGCACTACATGTTCAGCACACAGTTCGAGTCTTGCGACGCCCGTCGGGCCTTCCCCTGTTTCGACGAGCCTAACCTCAAGGCCACCTTTGACTTTGAGATTGAGATCCCCGACGACCAGGTCGCCCTCAGCAACATGCCCGTCAAGGACACCAAGAAGACCAAGGAGGGCTGGCAGCTGGTTTCCTTCGAGACCAGCCCCAAGATGTCCACATACCTCCTCGCCTGGGCTGTTGGTGACTTTGAGTACGTTGAGGAGTTCACCGAGCGCCGCTACAACGGCAAGCAGCTGCCCGTTCGTGTCTACACCACCCGTGGCCTGAAGGAGCAGGGCCGTTATGCTCTGTGGCACGCGCCCCGCATCATCGACTTCTTCTCCGACATCTTTGGCATCGAGTACCCCCTGCCCAAGGCCGACCTGTTGGCCGTCCACGAGTTCACACACGGAGCCATGGAGAATTGGGGTCTCGTCACCTACCGCACTACCGCCGTCCTCTTCGACGAGAAGACGTCCGAGGCCAGGTACCGCAACCGTGTCGCTTACGTTGTCGCTCACGAGCTGGCTCACCAGTGGTTCGGCAACCTGGTCACCATGGACTGGTGGGATGAGCTGTGGTTGAACGAGGGTTTCGCCACCTGGGTTGGATGGCACGCGACAGACTACCTGCACCCCGAGTGGCAGGTTTGGTCTCAGTTTGTCAACGAGGGTATGGAGATGGCCTTCAAGCTTGATGGCATCAGAGCCAGTCATGCCATCCACGTGCCTGTCAAGGACGCCCTTGATGTCAACCAGATTTTCGACCACATCAGCTATCTCAAGGGTTGCTCGGCCATTCGCATGCTCGCCAACCACCTCGGTGTCGAGACCTTCCTCAAGGGTGTCTCCAACTACCTGAAGGCCCACCAGTACGGCAACGCCAAGACCAAGGCGTTGTGGGATGCTCTCACTGAGGCGTCCGGCAAGGATGTGAACAAGCTCATGGGCCCCTGGATTTCCAAGATTGGTCACCCCGTTCTGACCGTCGCCGAGGAGCCCGGCCAGATCTCTGTTAAGCAGTCTCGTTTCCTTTCCACTGGCGACGTCAAGCCCGAAGACGACGAGACCACCTGGTGGATTCCCCTTGAGATTGAGGGCAAGGTCGGCACCAAGGGTGTCACCTCCCTGTCTCTCGAGAAGAAGGAGGACACGATCCGTGATATCGACACGGACTTTTACAAGCTCAACTCTGGATCTTCCGGTTTCTACCGTGTCAACTACCCCCCTGAGCGTCTTCTGAAGCTCGGACAGCAGCTGGATCGCCTCACCACCGAGGACAAGATTGCCATCATTGGCTCCTCCGCCGACCTTGCCTTCTCTGGCTACGGCACCACCGCGGCTCTTCTGTCCTTCGTCCAAGGCTTCGCCAAGGAGGACAACTACCTCGTGTGGAGTCAGGTCCTTGACTCTATCGCACTTGTCAAGTCCATCTTCAGCGATGACGAGACGATCAAGAAGGGTCTGGAGACTTTCACGTTGAAGCTTATCAACGACGTCGTGGCCAAGATGGGCTGGGAATTCCCCGAGGGCGAGAGCTACCTTGACGGACTTCTCCGCAAGAGAGTCCTCCTGACTGCTGGTGTCAACGGCCATGCTGGGTAAATATTATCCACTATTGATGAGTCTATACAAGTACTAACAACCGTAGTGTCACCGAGGAGGCGACCAAACGCTTCAACGCCTGGGTCGAGTCACCCGAGTCTAACCCCCTGCACCCAGCTCTCCGCACGCCCGTCTTCCGCGTCGCCATCAAGAACGACACGGCCCGTGCCGTCGAGGCCTTGAAGAAGGAGTGGTTCACCACCCCCGCCATCGACGGCAAGGAGATCTGCCTCTCCAACCTTGGTTTCGTCCGTGATGAGAACATCATCAAGAACAACCTGCTCCCCTTCCTCTTCAACAAGTCCCCGCCCGCCCCGGCTTCGGACTCCGTCCCGTCCGCCGACATGCACTCCCTCGGCTCCGCTCTCGCCGGCAACTCGGTCGCCCGCCAGATCCAGTGGGACTACGTCAAGAACAACTGGGAGGCCTGCCTCGCCAAGCTCGGCAACCCCATTGTCGTTGACCGCTTCATCCAGGTCTCCCTGGGCAAGTTCACCGACTTTGAGTCCGTCAAGGACATTGAGGCCTTCTTCGCCGACAAGGACACGAGCGCTTTCGCCCGTACCCTCGAGACCGTCAAGGACAAGGTTCGTGGTCGCGCCGCGTACCGCGAGCGTGACGCTGCCAAGCTGAAGGAGTGGCTCGTCGCCAACAAGTATGCGTGAATCGACGGGGATGAATTGGCGACAACTGGAGGAGTACAGAAAGGGAATATTTCGTCCAAGTTGTAGTCAGCTAGCTACAGAATGCTGGCTTTTTGTGGAAAAGCGAAAAAATCCAATCATTATTTACGTTACTACGTCTGTAGTCTTCCTTCGTTTGTCTGTTGATGCAATCTGAAGTGATACGATGTCAATCCCTCTGGCCCGAGGGCAGTTGAAATTGCAGTGAGAACCTCACAACCAGCCATGATGGTCAATAACAACTTTTGTCTAGACCGCTTAATCACCTATGGATGTTTACGAATTGCAGCGAACTGAACGACCGGTCCAACGACCAGCGAAAATTCCAGAGCAACGGCCTCATCTTCAGACCCATCATCTTCGTTTTTCAACATCGGGAGCCATACAAGGGGAGCATAATGTAATTTGGGCAACATCGCACGTTTCATTATTTATACATTCAAGACGCCCAGGGAAAGCAAGTCGCGCCTATAGCTAGCTAGCTAGCCTGCTTTCCTTGCGTCTTGTTCCTCGAAACCTAATGTACGCTTTTGCAAAGAGAAGCTCAGAAGACTATAAAAGAAGATACAAAAACACAAAAAGCCCATCCGTCCATCATGAAACCACTCTCCGAAGAGGAACTTCCATGAGAGGCCTGAGATTAGCCCGATCAACACCCCATTCAAACGCCGAAACCCGTGCAAAATCATGCATATCTTTTCATTCCATACACGTCCGCCCCCCTTCCGTCTTTCTGGTTTGGTCGTTTTCAGTTCAACTGTGGCGGTATCGTACTGGAAGAGATTTGGTTTCTGGTTTTCGAATCGTAGACTAGTCAAACATGTACACGTGCCGTGCAGGCCAGGTAGGTGTCGCATCAGCCTTGGAACGCAGCGCGGCGGAGATTCTGCATCATCCTCTCGACGATGGCCGTTGAGTCCGTAGGCACATCGGGCAGAGGAACGTCGTCCTCAGGAGTTTGATGGGGCGGGGGTAACGATGGCTGCGCTTGCATTTGATGTTGTTGTTGCGGCGGTGGTGGCGGCTGCTGCTGATTCTGCTGTCGATAATGCTGTTGGTATTGCTGTGGCGGAGGATGCTGGTGGTACTGCTGATGATGTGGAGGCTGCCAATGTCCCGGCGGGGGCGCCCAGGCTTGGGGCTGCTGTGTCTGCTGCTGCTGCGTCGGTCCCCAGTTTGAACCATGACTCTGGTAGCCTGGCATGGCAGCTGTCTGTAGAGGAACCGGCGACGGTGCGGACTGATGGGAAGGTGCTGTAGGCGTCGGCGGATTCACGCGCGGGGTGAGGGCAAATTGGGCCAAGAGCTCTGCTGGGTTGAGATGCTCAGTCCGTGGTCGGCTCGCGGGAGGGAACGGCTGGGCTGATGGCGTATCGTAAGCCTGAGATTGAGACTGGGTAGACTGTCGGGGGAACGCCGTAGTCATCGATTGATTCGTAAAGGGCATTCGAGAGGTTGGAGCCGGCATTGGTGTGTGCGGTACCGACACGGGGGCTTGAGCTACGGGAGGCGCCGTCTCTGTCGTTGGGCCAGCTGATTTTGACGGTTGAGAAGCCGTTTGCGCGGTATAGCCATTGATGGCTGCCGTCGGCGGTTCCTGGGTTGCATCCTTCCCGGGGCGAGCAGCCGGGGGTGGGTTCGTACCTTGCGCAGACGCTCCAGTTGTTTTCGAACTGGTCTTGGGTGGAGTAGCAGCCGAAGGCATCTTGCCCATGGCTGCGAGATACTTGGCCGGGAGGGGAACCGGTGTCTGCTTCTCGGGGATCTATCATTGAGTCAGCTTGGGCTTGTTCTACTTGGGGAAATGTCATGTATTAGGTGGTCATACCTTGTACTGCACCTTCGGCGCAGCGGGCTTTGCTGCAGGCTGAGATTTCGTCTGGGTAGACTGAGGCTGGCTAGCAGGAGACTGCTGAGAGACAGGCTGTTGCGAGGGTTGAGATTGTGCTGGTTGAGTGTGTTGAGGCTGAGGATGCTGCTGTTGTGGCTGGTTTGCCCAACCTCCATACTGCGGCCGGATCGCTGGATGTAGCGGCGCCGACTGTGGCTGCTGCGGCTGCCAGCCCTGACTTTGGCCATGCGAGCTGGGTCGAGAGTTGCCTGATGCAGGAGAGGGAGATATCGATGAGTAAGATGGCGTCCTGGCGTGCTTCTGAGGGACCTGCGGCGATGGTGAAGAATAAGGGGCCGCTGTTTTGACACCATACATTCCGATGGAACCTTGAGGCATGACATTCGTGAGTGTGTTGTGGTATGGACCGCCGTAAGCAGGTCCCTGAGGGCCCGTGTTCGGAGCGGGTGTCGGCGTGCCTCCCTGAATGGAGCCTTGCCGGTTTTTGAAGAAGGCTTCTGGAGACGTCCTCATGAGATGAGCTCGGAGGTTACCTTCATATCCGTTGGTGAATCCTCCCCATGGAGCATAGGGAGTTCGGTACGTCTTCGAGTCTCTATGGAGTGTGTGAGTATTATTAATCAAGTCCCTAGGGTTGGAAAAATCTGACCTGTTGTGGTGAACCTGGAAGAATGCATATTTCATAGCAACAGAAGGCGTTGGTGCGGCCGAGTATCTCCGATGGTTCTGCTGAGTTGAGCCTTGCGAAGTACTGTGTGGTAAAGGAGGTCTGGAGTTCTGCGACGGCGTTGACCACGTTTGTTGCGTGGACCGCGCGCTGACTGCGGGTTGCGGTCCCGGGGTGTTGTACGGGCTCGACCGTTGCATCGAGTTCGGAGCCTCGTAGTAGCCCTGCCCAGCTGGAGCGGGACGAGGCATATATTGTTGATGTACGTCGGGAGCAAACTTCTGTTGAACAAACTGGGTACCCGGGATCGGGTATCGAGGATCAGCTCCGAAGTGGATCTGCTGTCCTCCGGGAGTCGGGGGCGCAGAAGCCTTGGGTGTGGACTTTTGCGTGGTGAAAGAACCGGTCCCAGCGTAGTTGGTTTCGACAGGTTTCCTGGGTTTGTATACGTATGGCTTCTCCGACTTGGGCCCATTCTGAACAGCGACTCCAGGCGTAAACACTGGCAATGGGGCTGGTTGTGGGGGAACAACCGACACCCTGCGATGCGACGTGCTTGCGGAAACAGGCTTGGGAGGCTTGGGAATGGTGTCAAGAAAGTTGCTCTTGGGATTGTGCAGCTGCTTGGCGGGATCATCAGAATACTGTGCCTTCGCCTCCGTCGACGTCTTGCCGAGATAGTGCCAGACTTGGCTGTCCTTCGACAGATCAACCTTGGTCTGGTTTGGATTAGTACACTCGTTGCATGGATGGAACTCTGCCCATGTGTAGCCTTCAACAAAGGGAGCATCTTTGCGGGGAATCTCATCAGCAGGGCGCTTCGCATTCAGTCGTTCCTTTGCCTTCTGCGATGATGGCATCGGGATAGCCTTGGAAGACGCCTTTGGAAGGTGGTAGTCAGATGGGTCGGGCAGTAGAAGCCACTTCCACTCAACCTCGAGACGGTCACTACAGCACGTCAGAATTTGTTGATCAAAGTTGTCGATAGAGACATACCCATTAGGAATGATATCAAGGAGGAACATCTGCTCATCGGCGCGATTCTCAACCACGACACCGGCAAAGATGTCGCCCTTGAAGTACTGCAACTGGCAGATGTCGCCCTTGGTAAGTGCTGCTGCAGCCTCGCGAATCCGCACATCATCCTCCAAGGAGTCACCAGTATGTTTCCTATCACGCTTGGTACGATGGAAGCGACAGCTGAACTCGAACGCTTGCTCCTTGTACTCGGTTCCATCTTCGCCAAAGACCGGGACTTCGGCTTCTTCGACAAAGACACCCGCGGCAGCCGCGCATGTGGCGTGGTAGGCCCGAGCACATTTCTTCTGGGAGCACTGGAAGCAGGCACCCTTCTTGGACCGACAATAGAGACACTTGAGATCCAGGCGTTCCTTGTTGATGTTGGCAACATTCGCAATGACCTCCTTGTCGTCGACGGTATCGATGTATGTCTCGGGCAGGTATAGCGCGCACATCCGATGGGCCTTGCGGCCATCGTCTGTTGGCAGGACTTCTGCACCAGGGATATCGCTGGGGCAAAGGCAGCACGTCGGCTCTGCGCGCGTCTTGACCTTGAGACGAATCCGCTTGGTCTTTGCCCTGCCTTCTTTGTCCCCAGCAGCGCGCTTTCGTTTGCGAGCCGACTTGACAATGCCGTTACTACCAGGAGGAGACGGAAGGCCAGTAGCGTCGTCTTCATCCTCATCCTCGTCCTCTTCGTCTTCTTCGTCAGTTTCCTCGTACTCGGGAGTGGGTTCGCCACGGAGTTTCCGTTCGATATCGTATACGTCAACCCACACGCTATCTTGCGCCTGTGCGCACTCGCAACGTTTGGCGATCTTGCCCATGGGAAGCCAAGAGTCGAGCGCAAAGTTGACAGCCTCGGCGCAGTTGTAGCCCAAGTTGTATCCAGAGTGGTAACCGTAGGGATAGGTTACGACGAATTCACCCGGGTACGAAACGCACTTATTAACGGTGATATTGTAGTGCTGCTTGAGGTGCGATGGGGAAATCAAGAATCCCTTGTGACGGAGGAACTGGTCGCAAGCCTTGGCGTCCGTGGGCCAAATGTTCTTCATGGCAGCCTCGAAACGGCGGGCGTCAGCTTGTGAAATGCTGTACCATTGTTTAGGGGCGCCGAAGTGGAGATAGTTGATGCTGTAAAGATCAACGTCCTCCAAATGCCATGCGAAAGTGGCCTTCCACATGCCCAAGTAGAGGTAGGCCGTGTTAACGCCGGGAACCTTTGTCCCAAGAACGTCCAGCAGGTTGGGAAGCTTGTTCAAGTTCCACGTTTCTGTCGATTCGTCGAAGAGAGTACCCATGAGATCTGCGCCGTACAACGGCGGGGCGTACGTGAGGGTTTTCCAGTATATCCTCTCGAGTTCCTCACAGCGCTCAGGGGTATAGTCAGAGACATCCATCTGATAGTCAAAGTCTTCAAACGCCTTTTCGTCAATCATGGCGGACCCTTCTCTCTTGCTGTACTTCCGACGGGCCGAAACAGTCTGGGTCTTTGGCTTTGCTTGTCTCGCGCCACCCATCCGACCCATTCTGCCAACGGTTGGTGGCTCATCTTCGTCAACATCCATTCCCGGGTCTTCTACAGAGTCGACGACTTCTTCTTTCTTGACCTTGACCTTGGGGTCCGCATCCGCAGCCGGCTTAGGGGAAACAGGCGTCATCGGTCGCTTCTCTTCCTCTTGTTCTTCTTCGGCATCGTCCTCATCATCCTGGTTCTTGCCCTTGGCCTTACCCCGGCGCGGTCGACCTCGGCCCCGCTTTCTAGACCCGGCCGACGTTGATTTCGCTTCTGTACGAGGTTTGGGGGCGGATCGGGGTTTCGGCTTTTCGACGTTGGCTCGGCGCTCGCCTCGCCGCGCTGGGGGCTGATGTTCGCTCTGGTCGCAAAGTTGTCGCCACTGCGGGAGGTTGTAGGATCTTTGATGAAGAATATTGACTTGGCGATAGGTTCCATTCGATCCCATAATGTCTTGTTTAATTGGTTCTCTGACTCGGATCTGCTTCACCAGGTCGTCGAGTCGGGGGAGGTTTTCTTTCCACTCGGGAGGAGGGATAATCTTGACGATGCCGGACTTCATTCCATAATGATCGACTTTGGTCATCTACAGTCACAGTCACAGTCAGCCGATGAAAAGACACGGCGACAAAGGGCACGAAAGGGAGAGGCATGGGCGTACGAATAGCTTGAAGTCCTTGAACTGATGCATCGTGGGCCTGAAGACAGGGACAGTCCCGGACCAGTGGTCGGGAAGGACTTCGCCAATGTCGTCCTCGGGCGGCGGCGCCTCATCTTGGGTCGCAGGAGCAGCAGATGGGTCAACGGCATCGTCGTCGAGGTCGCTGAGCTCAGAGTCGCTGGCTTCCGACTTGGGCGCATTGTTGCTGTCGGGGGGTGAGTGGAGGAAGGCGGGCTTTGCACATTCAATCTGGCCAAGGGTCGGCTCCTCGTCGTGGTCACCAGTCGTGGATTGCGCCGGCACAGGTGCAGGCTCCGAGACTGGAGCGCTGACAGCGTCGGTCGACATCGTGGAGGGGACTACATGCGACCGTCGATGCGCTGGAATTTTTCTGCCTCGCACGTCGTCAAGAATGGTCGTGTTGGGAGAGTGGGCAGGCTTGGTGTTCTCAAGTCGCCGAAAATATGAGGTGCAGACGTCTGGTTGAGTGCGGAGAACAGATTCGTTCGGTTCTTTTGGTTATCAGATCCTGCGGGGGGTTGGCCACTGTAGAGTATTCGTAGAGGGAGCGGCAGGACTGAGGAAACTGCGTCTGGCTGGGCTGGCTCGCTAAATGGGCCGATTTTTGGCGAATCTGGGCCGATGAACCAGGGCTGGCGCAAGCAGGGCGGAAGTTGCAACTCCCCAGGTTGACGGTTACTGTTAGGTAAGGAAGGGAAGGCAGGTACGGTCGGCAGTCGTGCACCGCACCTGACAAAATAAACCAGCCTACTCAAGACGAGGGCTTTTACATTAAGGCCAGAAATAAGGTATTCGTCGGCTGATGAAAACCTTCAAGGTATTGAGGGTACTCAAAAGGGTCGTGGCCTCTGCTCCTTTTGCCTGTTTTTTCTTTCGTTGCAAAGAGCCAAAAACCAGAGGTGTCGGGTCGAGAAAGAGCTGTACCATCGGGCAGATGCGGCTGCGGCTGTGGTTGCTGTTACTTGCGCTTGCTGCTTGCTGTGGGGGAGAGAACGGGTGGTTCAGGTACGGAAAGTGCGCGGGCACCTCACCTTCCAATTCTCAGCATCCGACGGGGCAGGCAGGTGGGCAGTGTTGGCGACCCCCTTCCCTCTTTTGCCTTCGTGCCTTCCAAGTTCCGTCTCTTCCCCTTGACTTCCAGTTCCTCGCTTCCAAGGTCCACACTGATTAGATCTGCGCTAGTCCCGACTGGGGAGTTTCCCCTGTGCCTTAGGCACGCGAGGCAAATGCAGAATCCGGCACCGGAGTGCAGGGAAATGACGTCGCCACGTGAGGGCAAGTCGAATTTGCAACCACAGCGAAATTGATCTAGCCTACGCATTTGATTGCGAGTTATGCGCGCAACTCGGCTCAGAAATACCATCACCTGGGCGAATCATCAGCTATAAATGCACTGTCAGGTTCAATATCTCGATGGCTTCATCCAAAAATGCGCAACTCATTAAAGCATCCAATGGTCTCAGATCCTGTGGAGCCGGGTTGCTTTGTAGTCAAAGCTGTCGCCCTTTTGTGTCTAGGCGTGAATTGCTTCTTCTCCCTGACATTTACCGTTATAAATGCTACAAATCCGCACAGAAGGTTGTGGGTCCCTGCCATTGACTGGTCTTTGGTGTTTGGAGATGCCGTCGCTTCCGGCAGGCCGTAACAGCGGACGGCGTCAAGGGAACATCGCGCCAGGAACGGAATTGTGAATCGTTTCCCCTACTGGAAAGCTTCGACCAATGGAGAGAAGCATCAAGATCTGATAATCTCGCATGGCACTTGGAAGCTCCAAAATCTCCGGGGGGTGGTGTGACCCATCCAGCCCTACCGGTCGAGAGCATCCGCCGGCCGGCAGCGGATCGTCCGATGATCCAATCTACCGAGTACCCTGGCCTGGCTGCTCGGCGGAGCGAGCAACCTGAGGTGAGGTAGGGGAGAGGGGCTGCCAGGAGGAAAGCTGGCTCCCGTACGCATCACTGCCTGCGATAGCTTGACTTTTACCGAAAGCTCCCCAGTGAGCTTGTTCAGTCGAAGGTCTGCCCATGTTGACAGTGGCATCGAGTCTCGTCGGGGATGATTATCGTGACCAAGTTCCCACGTATCTGTTCCTATGAGCATTATTGTGTGAACCCCTTATCGGACAGCGCCCGCCTACCTAAGGTAGAGTCCAGCATCATCAGTCGACTCCGCACTCTCCACGGTGCGTGAGGGGCGAGGAAGCTGGAGCCGCGAAGATCAGAGTTGCAGAACCCCCCACATACGTCCCCAACCATGGAGGATGGGGTTGACTTGACTCCGAGGGGGGCGTGGATTTGGGCCTCCTCGAACGTGGTCTTTGATCGTACACCTGCTCCGCTACAACGAGACGCCGACGAGATGTATCCATGGTGGCTAGATTTCCTGTGATATTCGTCAACATTGTTTTCTCGTAATGGAAGTCATCTCTTGCCTTGAGATTCCAGACTTCAAGCACCACTCGTGAATGCTGGCGCTGGATCTGCCCCATTACTTTCGAATGACCCTTTTTGGCCCCTTCATCAATTGCTCATCATGAGCCATCAAGGTTCTCATCAGCAACATAGATTTGACCAGATATCACTAAGGATGATGGCGGCCCCAGCTACAAAGGGTCTCCCACCCAGTCGAATGTTGAGAGTGACAGAGTTGAATTTGGTTCGGCAAGAAAAGTGAGGGGATATTGTATGCAAAGCACGTCTGAGGAAGACAATGCACTAAGTACCCGTACCTAGGCAAGTATGTCGGCATGGCTGTCGTGGGTCTCACCCCGTGCCTACCAACCCCCAAAGGCATCACAACTTCCCATCACCTTGCCTGAGATGAGGTGAGGTGCCATCATCTTAGACAATCTTCAGTGATACTAGAGCCGTGACTGGCCCATAACAACGTGTACGTCTCACAGCAGAGGCATGGACAGTAGACAGTCCTCAACTGATGTAGCGCGCCAACAAAGCTTCTCTCATTCACCTCTGATGTCTACCTCGGCAAACAAATCACACAATAGTACCACCTAGAATCAGATAAACTCTTCTGTCCGCCTTTTGTCGCCAATAAATTCATAGCCCTTTTCATTACGTGATGAAGGAAAATGGCGTGTCTGATATACCGTCATAAAAGTAAATAAAAAATCCCGCCACTGGCTAAATGCAATTGCCAGAAGAATGTACAATATGATCGTGCTTCGTGAAAAAAAGGTTCTATGCGTCTCGTTCTCTCCCCAAACCCCTCGATCCTCCCTTCGGCAGGTCTCCTGTGCAACGTTGCCGATACGCCATGCGAGAAGTTAAGAACTTTATAGAAGAGATATATGTGAATAGAGGGTACCCCTCTTAGCGGTCGTGAAGAATGTATCCCATCCAAAATCTGGGATTGGTTTACGCGGTGCGGAGATGGTTCGATCCAAGGCCGATCAACTCGAACATGATTGGGATGAGGCCGACGCCCAGCCAAGCAATACCTGTCGGCATCTGTCAGCAAATGTGGAGCAAGGTCGGATCATGCGGAAGAGGGATGGAGCTTTACCTGTATAAACAACCAGCTTGGTCACCACCTCAACATCGTAACGCACTCGTGGGCGGATGAGTCGAAGAAACATTTCCTTCTCACTCATCTCATCCTGTTGGCCGACCCTCAGCTCCACCTCTCCCTTCTCCTCGCTCGGGCTCGCCAGCACGCTCCCCGTACCCATCATGCGCTCAAAGTCGTTAAGCGAATTGCCGTGGTGGCCTTGAACACCAGACGTTGCTCCCTTCCCTTCCCAGTCGCTGCTCTTCTCTCGAAGCTCGTGCATACTGCCCTTGCTCTTGATGCTGCCATTGCTTCCGATGCTCTCCCGACGTCGTCGCTCGCGGTATGCAAGTGTCTCATACGCATCAGCAGCACTCTGTGGTCCGATCGAAACTGAGCGACCACGCGTTGTCGGGTGACGAATGGACTGGACTACACGGGGCAAGTCCCTGACGTTGGGAATAAGCGTATCCATCCTCGAGCCCGGGTCAATAGACTTATACATGGACGCTGGTGTGAAGAAACGTCTGGGAAGATTCCACTCGACCTTCTCCAGGAGACGGAAAAGGTGAGGCAGAACTCTGAGCATGGTAGGTTTCATGACCTCTCGCCACAACAGGATGACAACTACGCCGAATACAACCCGGGCTAGTACAATGTGCCAGCCCAATGCATTGAGATCAATGGACTCAACAGTATGGGCAGAACCTCCGAACGAATCGATTGAAGTCCGCCCATACATCCATGTTCCGATCTCCAGGCCAATCACGACTCCAGCAAAGGCCACACTGTCGTCGAAACAAGGGCAGTCGTCCGCCGGCTCGGGGTGTATCCTCACGAGAACAATGACGACGAGAGCAGCGATAACGGGCGCCCACCATGAGCTGCTATGCATGTAGGCGTCCAGCGGCGGGCCGTAGTGGAACTCGACAAGAGAGATTGCAGCACCCAAGACCGAGCCCACGATTACGTCGATGAAGCCATGCATACCACAGTACAGCCGACCGAGAATGATAGAAATGGCATAAAAGTACGACAAGCCCTCGAGGACGGTCTTGGTTGTCTCTGGCATGGCGTTCTCAGGACTCCTGAGAAGCAATACTGCGTACACGGCCACCGACACGGCGTTGGCGCTATGGGTCGAAGGGAAGCCATATTCCAACGCAGCAGATCCGGACATGGTGATTCGATGCAGTGGCGGGGACAGCGGTCTGGGTAGAGAGAAGAAGTCCTTGATAAAGCCGGTGAAGAAGACACCCTCGGCCAGGATGTGGATAACACTGTGAGATAGCAGCTTGTTAGATATTTTCTATAAAACTGTGCGCGGCGAATCATGCTTACCCTTTACCAAAGGAGGCGTACCCGCACCAGAAGAGCATGGGTAGACCGATCATGAAGAATGTATGAGTGCCGAGGTTGGCCGTGATCGCAAAGTAACTATCGAGCCACGGTGTGCGCATCGTTTCCTGCAGATAGGCCAGGTAAGGTGTTTCCCATCGGATCAGTGGCAGCAGCGACTGCCGCAGTCGATATCGCCATGGCGGCAGCGCTCTCTTGTCTGTGAACAGGCATGGTCAGCTCAAGGCTTGGAGGCTTGCGTACGGGCAAGGTATATGGGGCACTTGTCGATGCGCCAGGCTCAAGACAAGAGCGACAGCGCGAAAGGCAGTGCCGGGAGAGTGTAGCAGCGTACAATGATCGAGACTTCTCAAGCCCGCATCAGGGGCGTCGCTGGGGCTCTTGACTACGATCAGAGGCGGGGCGGGGGCCTCGGCGACAGCAGCTGGGTCGGCAAGCTTTAGATTCGCAAGGGTAGCGTCCGGCTGGGGATTCGGCGCAGATGCGGCGCCATTGGTATGGCTAGTCATCGAGCGGTGTCTGAGGTCGTGGCCGTGAGGCATACGGCCATTCGTTTTCTCGTAGTGTGATTTGATTCTCTTCGAGTTGTGTTCGGTCTGCGTGGTGCGTATTCGCGGGTAGAGTCGCAGGTTCGGAGGGGGTGAGGGAAGTGTTCGGTGTAAGGCGTTTAAGGTGGAGGGGAAGCAGATGCGGATGCAATTGCTCGAAGGGTTGGCGAGCGACTGGGCATCTGAGGGCGGTTAATTCGCAAGAAGGCCGAGGAGCGAACGATGCGCTTGCTGGGAGAGAGGAGGGATCGCCAACGACTAGAAGATTGTGAGTATGTCGCAGGAATCGAGATTTGGCGTCAAAGGTTGTGGGAGGGAAACGATGGGAGTGCAGGGGAAATTTGCAGGTGCAGCAAATGGATGGTAGTGGGATTGCGATGTTGCGTTTGCGCCACAAACGGGCGTGGGAACCTGTAACTGGAACTCGAACTGGAACCTGCTGTAGTGGTGTTGTGCTGGGCAAGGTACATTTACTTGGCTTACCTTGTGGTACTTCTCGGACGATGTACCTTTCTCTCGAGGGGTTACTCTTGGACGCCGGATGAGGCACTCGACGTAACCTAAAGTATATTCTTGAATACTTGACTGGTACCTTGTGAGCCAACAAGAAACGAGCAGAGAGGTCCTCTTGAACGGCACAACGGGTAGAGTGAAGAAAGAAGGAAGGAAAAAAGAGACAATGAATCTGGCACGGAAGGGTCCCGCGCTAAGGTAGCGCTACGTTGTGTCAGGCGTTACGAACACCTCATGGAAAGAT